TGGAGAATACATGGAAGAGGGGAGGCAATCAGTATATATTGATTTTTTTTAATTTTATGGGTAGATAAGTTATACTGCGTATGAATTTTATTTCAAGATAGCAGAACAGCTGTTACAACGTAACTGTTAGTACAGGGAGGCGTTGGGTCTCTTCAGCATTGAAAGCCACTGCCTGTAGCCGCCAGTGCCTCCAGGAGGAGGGGAAACAGGCTTTGAATAAACACTAGTTTAAAAATGAAAAAGGCTATGTCTTAAGTACTGCTTCCCATCCTGTGAAGTGAGGGCGTTGTAACCACAAAAATGACAGGCAAGTTAAGGAATGTGAACAAGATATCCTTAAGGAAACCAGTTCCCAAAGGGAAAGATCGGTTTTGTTAGCCCACTGTCAGGGGACCGTTATTTTCTTAATGTATCAGTGACACTATTTTGCTTGTATAATTTTTTTAAAAAGCAATAAAATAGTCTCTCTGGAGGTAATAACACATATACGTTATATTTAATATTAAGAAATCATGTATATTTTGGCAGGAAGAAAACGTATCTGAAGAGACTAACTCAATTCTACGAGACCAAAACAATAAAGGTTTTTTCCGATCATTGAAGTAACTGTATACAGAGGTGCAAAATGAATGAAAGTCTCCACCAATAAACTCACCTTTGGCGACAGCCCCCGGAGCCCTCTGATTTCTCATGGCTCTTTGTTGCCTTCGCTTTGCTAAAAACCCTTCCTCACTTTTCTCTTCAAATAACCTATTTGCTCTTCACTTAAATAACCCACGACAAATGACAGTGTTTGCTGGTCACTCCTCATCCACGTTGGGAACTTCCTGAGGCAGGGACTTTTTTTTTTTTTAACACTATTTTAATGTACCCTGCATGAAGCGGTGAGCTCCTCTATTTTTCCTTCAGTTTCTGGTAGACATGGAGGAAGGGCCAAATGTCTTCTTCAGCTGGTTGATGCATTTTCCAGGGATTGAACCAGTGATTTTCAAACTTTGGGTACATTACCATCACCTGGAGAGCTCTTCAAAAACACGGACGCTGGCGCCCCATCTCTGGAGATTCTGACTCAAGTGGTCTGTGGATACCCAGCTGGTTCTCATTGGCAGCTTAGGGCTGACAAGCTTGGTCTAGTTCAGAGTTTCTCCACCTTGGCACTGTGGACTGTTGGGACTGGATAATTCTTTGCTGGGGACAGGGAAGGGCTGTCCTGCGCATAGTAGGTTTTTAGCATCATCTTTGGCTTCTGTTTGTGAGATGCCAGTAGCACCCTCCCTCCAGTTGTAACAGATTAAAAAAAACGTCTCCAGACATTGCCAAAAAGTCCCCCAGGGGGCAAAAATCGCCCCGTTTAGAAACACGGGTCTAGTTGCTCTGTCTGTTGCTTTAAGAGCCTAGTTTGGAAAGCCCATAATTTTGTTTTCTGTGTCTGTTCTGACCAGAAGCTGCCTGCCTGTGTCTGGGAAAGCACTAGGCTGGTGTCAGAGGCTGGACCTGGGCTCCAGCCACTTAACATCAGTGCAGTTCGAGCAGCTCTCTTCCCCCCCGGGTCCTGTTCCCCATCCGAGTGCTACAGAAGAGCTCACACCGGTGGATCCTTACATTTCCTTCCAGCCCTGACACTGCCTGCTTTACCTAGCGACCAGTTGGAATTGGAGTGTGCTTTTTGTATTTGATACGTGTATTGAAAAAATTTTATATTTCCCATTTAATTAAGAAAAAGGAGATGAAATTGCTTTACGGTCATGACTTGACGGATTCCCCACGCCACCTCAGTAAGTTTCCTGTAGCAGCCTCCCCGGAGATGGATGAAGAGTAAGGCGTGACATTGTTTTCATTCCTCAGTTACATAACTGATTTCAGAGTGGAATATGATTTAAACAGACAGGAAGAAACACTGCGTTTTTATGAGAGGAATTTAAAAATGGAGATGATGGATTTCACAATGTTACTTTCAAAAAATGTCTGTAGGAAATTTTAAAAAACAACATCCACATTTTAAACTTGTAATGCTGGTACTTAGAGGAATTTAAATGAACTGTTTCCAGTTTGGGGTGTGTGATTTCCAGTGGATCTGTGATCATTTGAAAGAGACCTGCAGAGGGGGCAGAGTGGAGTTGGAGGAAGGTAGGGGGAGGGCTCCATGAAGCCTGCTGCACTCTCCCAAGCCAAAATTTAGAGTCCCATCCAGCTGCTTCTCACCCCTCCACTACTGCTGTCTGGATTAGTGTAACTGCCTCTTACTTCTTGCTTCCATCTTTGACTCCCCTCCCCCTACCTTCCACCCCTTCTCCATAATCTCTTCCCTACTGGGCACCAGAGAAGAGAATGAACCCCCACAACCACTTTGCCGTTTTTTCAGAGTAAAAACTGACTAGCTCTAATAGGGTTCCACAGGATCTGGCTTCCCGTCCCTCTCCTCTCTGACCTCATCCCCTGTTTTCCCTTATTCACACCTCTCCCTCCACACTGTGCACTGTTAGAATTCCACAAACACACCAGGTCCTTGGCATGTTCCTGTCTCAGAACTTTTGCACTAGCTCTTCCATCTTCCCTCTCCTGAGGATGCTCTTCCTCCAGGTAGCCATAAGGTAACTCCTTTACTTCCTTCAGGTCTTGGTAAAATGTCACCTGCTTAATGCAGCCACCCCATTTAATACTGCAACCTGCTGCCCACGTATGACTCCGCATCCCCTAAGCTCTACCCTTCTTTTGTTCCCATAGAACTTAGAACCTTCAAACATACTATATAATGTACTTATAACCTCTTGTTCTCTTGTCCATTTCCCTCCACCAGAACATAAGCTCCATGAGGGCAGAGTTCTTTGTTTTCATCTCTCATGTTTTCCAAGCACCTAGAGCAATGCCCAGAATGTAATAGCCGCTCCAAAGGCCAGTGGAATGAATGAATAAAGGAATGAACTATGAGCTGTGAAATCTGACCTTGGACAAGCTGCTTAGCACCTCTGAGTCTCTGTCTCATTACTGTTAAATGAGGTTGATGAGTTGGTGCGTTTATCTGATAGAGTCATTGTGTGGATCGGAGTTCTCACCTGGGGGATCTGAGCACTGTGAGTGCCTGGCATACCGCGTCTTCAGTAAACATGAGATGTTCTTACTGTCATTATGAGAACTGTTACCCAGGATCATAATTAGGTACTGTGTGTCCTGAGTGAACGAATGCGCACCTGGCTACATGACTAACAAGGAGGCACTGGACTATAAGGCTGGGTGAGGGGGAGCTGGACAGGCAGGGGATGGTGTGGGGAACCCCCCTGAAGGTAGCCCGGTGCTGCCCTGCGCCCTCACCCCAGTTCCCCAGAGGTGTGTGGGCCTGATCCGTGGGCCACAGGAGAGGATGTGTTTGGGGGCATGTGTAGAGAATGATCATTAGCAAGATGAAAAGGGAAGGAGATGGCGTGGGGAGCCCAGTTAGGAAGGGGTCGGCTCATCTAGGAAGGAGTAATGAGCCCTTGGGTAAGACAACTGTGGTTGGAACAGGTGGCGGAGACATTTGGGAGGCCAAGATCAGCTCCTCCAAAGCAAGCTCAGGCAGGAGTCTGCTATTTAGGCTCTGTCAGGTAGCAAAATGCGATGAACATGAATGATGTGATTCTGACCTGTCCTTAATTTCTAAATGGACTTTAATTTTTATCAACAGGCTTTTTGGCCTATTAGTCAATAGAGAAGTAGACTGTTTTTCTCATGGGGAATGTTTAGACTAGGGGGGAAGAAAAGGAAATTCTTACCTTGCTAGGTAATAATAGAGAGATGAAGCAAGCATGGCCAACATACAGTGTGAAGGAAAGCTCTGGAACCCAACCCCCATAAAACTGTTCTTGTCAAACCTCAGTGAGTGCTGTAGCGGCTTCTCTCAGAAGTTAAAACAGGAAATACACATTCTGATGAGAGCTCGTCTAAGTTCTGAAAGCTGCTGCTGCTGGTTTGAAAACTTTGGCATTTCAAGATCTCAATAAAGCGGACGAACCAACAGAAGGGCAGACTTTTGATAAAGCTGCCAGGTGCGATGAATTCCACAGCTGAAGTTAAGATGCGAGAGATGAAGGCTCCTTTTTTACATCTATTGGCCACCAATTGACAGCTCCTGACCTTTAAACTTAATTGCCCACTCTCCCTGGGACTAGGGAATTTCACAGTCTATTGTCAGTCTTTGATGCTCAGGCGGTGTTAAACATTTTAAAACCCAACCAAAAAAAACCCCCAGACTCTAACACCTCTTTGCCCTGATGACAGCTCAGCCTCCTGCTTTGTGTTCCTGCTCAGTTTTTTCCCCCGCATCCTCTAGGACTGCAAAGTCAGGTCACCATTATTGTTATTTCAGAGTGTCTCTCAACACTCACCATCTCCTGGGAACCATATTTCTCAGAAGTTTGAAATTTGCCTTGTTCATGTCCCTAGGCCAGGTCTGCAGGGCCCTTAGGCACACACAGAGGTGTTGGTTTAAGAGCTTGTTGAGGGTCATTCTCTTGATTTTTGCCACCTCCAAGACTAAATGGCGATTTTCTTGCCAATTTTTTCTTCACGGCCAAAACTGGGTGTAGAGGAGAGGTTTCCTTTGGTCTCTGAGATGAAATGGTCATCAGAGCAAGGCTAATGTGTCAGATGCCCTGCTTCCAGCCTCCGCTTGGGCTGTGGTGGGAGCAGCGTGATGCTGCGGATGAGAGGAGGCACCTGCGGAAGGAAAAGAACTGAACTCACACCTGCGGGGTGTGCAGGTGCAGCCGCGTGCTTTCCTACTGCTTCCTCTGTGAAACTCTGCTGTCTTCGGGGGTGTTTCTCCATTTCATCCAGTAGTTTCCAAAGGGTAGTTCTGAGACCCATAGCATCAGCATCACCTGGGAACAGGTGAGAAATGTAAATCCTCAGGCTCCACCCACATCTTCTGAACCAGAAACCTCGGAGTCTGTGTTTTTAACAAACCCTCTAGGGGTCAAGTCCGAGAATCTTCGATTTGACCTGATATTCTGCTGGTGTGGGCCATCAAATTGCTTTGCTCGTAGTTTAGCAAGTCTTTGCTTTGTGATTCTGTGCATCTGAAGTCACCTCATTGTAAGGCTGCTGTTACCCTGACGGCAATGACCTGGATGGAGGGAGGCAATGAGGGGGATGAGTGCTGCGAAACGCCGCGGGAGGAAATCTCAGACCTGCTTGGGTCTGCTTTGAACCTTCCACCTTTAAAAGGGAGAGACCTGAACAGGGGAGGATAGAGCTCATGCTTAGCATACACAAGCTCCTGGGTTCAGTCCCCAGTAGCGCCACTAAATTAAGTAAATAAATGACCCTAATTACCTCTCCCCCTGAAAGAACAAAATAAATAAAATATTTTTTTTTAAAAAAAGGAAAGACTTCATAACTAGGGGGGGAAAAAACCCGAAAGTGAAAAACAACAGCTATTTGAGTCAGTACCTTAGCAAATTGAAGTGACAGCTGTAAAACATTTCACTTCTGACAAGAGAGCCCCTTTAGGGCAGGTAATGATCTGTTAAATACCAGAAGAGCAGACCAAGGACCTGAAGACATTTAACAGGGAGAAGAGGTGAGGTAGGAAGAGGGGGAGGATGTGAGCTCTGCCTTCAGCTGGGGACGAAGACCAGGAGCAGGACCAGTGCAGAGAATCACGGAGCGGCATCTGGGAGCTCCCTTTGATCCTTAGAGCCACCTGACAATGGGATGGCACCTTAGGAGCAAAAGGGAGCCCCCTGGCTCCAGGAACAGGTAAGCCTGGATGGCCATGTGACAGAATCGCCATAGTAAAGGGAATTCTTATAGCAGGCAAGAGCTGCATTAGGGTCAAGGTTTTGCAGACTCAAAAAAAAAAAAATCAGAACTCTTTCTTCAAGCGAGATAGTACGCCATGATACTTAAATTTATAAAACAAATCAAAGAGGGGCCAATTCGGTGATCCCGGGACACATCCTCCTTGGAATATCCTAGGTGAGCACCGACGCCCCTTTCAATGTGAGCTCCTCTTATCCTGTGGTTCTTTAACCTCTTTTCAAACCAGAACTTTTCTCTCTTCTCTCCAGGCTTCTCTTGAGTTGCCCACGGCCTTCCTTGGATGTGATGTCACCAAAGTAGCAGTGGTCACAGGGGGTAGGGAAAGCTGGACTATACGTGGCCCTCCCCGGGGACGGCGCTCTGGGGGCGCTTTCCGTGCTGAGCCGGGATCGAGTGGCAGGCCAGGGCAGACTGTGATTTGAGTTCCCCCGAGCAGGACACTCCTGTCTTTAGTCACCTTCGTGCAGAACGGGAAAACGGCAGGCAGATCTAAAGCCTGAGCCAACAGGTAGACTTAAGTGGAACTGGTTTTCCATTCTGTGAGAGACCTGCCTTGAAGGAAGCCCAGGATGCTGTGTGGGCCTGCCCTGGTGGGGGTCTCAGAGGTGAAGAGGGGGGACTCCCTCTACTCTGAAGGGCCAAATGCAAGATGGCCCTGCTGTGGGCAGGGCTGGCAGCCAGGGCCCTCCCTTCTCTGCCCAGCATTGCTGGCTCTTAGTCTGTTTTTCTCCCAACAGAACCAGAATTTTTGTCATAAAATTCTTGGACTACTTGAGTTTCTGGATTGTAATGCCTTTATTTTTTTTCACAGTGATGATAGCTCTAGTCTCGCTTATAAACACCTAAAGGGCAGAAAATGTTTTTCCCTCAGAAGAGCAATGAAAAGAAAACGCCAAGGAGATTTCATCCCTCTTACTACAGCTTCTTCTCTGGTTGGCAAGAGTCACAGCTGTGACCTGATTTTGTTTATTTGAAAGGAAAGACAATTGTTCATTCACTCAACAAACATTTACTGAACAGAGCTGCTGGGCTCCTGTTGGGCGTTGGGGATATTAAGTCAGCCCCAGCTCTGGAGGAGCCATGAGTTGACAGGATAAATGGGAAAATCATGGTCCAGGCATCCATGTATTGAAGGCAGTTGGTTTAAACAGGCTGCTACATAGTCAGCCAGGTGAATGAGAGAAGGATGGAAAGCCTTCCAGACAGAGAACAGAGAATGTGTAGGCAGCATGAAGTCAGGGTAGAGAAACCGAGTCCCCCTAAAACTGAGCTCCCCTGCCGAGCTCATGATTAACCTCTCTGTCCAAAACTTTATTCCCTCTGACCTCAGTCCTGTGCTAACTGAACACTAATCAACCAGATTGCTGTTGTTGAGAACATTGTTAACCTGCAAGCTCAGGTTGTTTCTCCAGGGCAAGATGAGCTAACAGACCCCAAGCCATGGGCCACCTGGCCAGAGGATCATAAACCAGAGACATCCTGACTCCTGAAGGTAAGACTGAGAAATGTCACAAGACTATGATTAGCCCCAGCTTCTTTGTTCTTCCCCTTTTAAAAAAAAAACCTCTAACTCACAAAGACCTAGTTGGAGTGGATCTGGGGCTTGTCTCTCACTCCCTTGCTTGGCGCCCTGCAATAAACCCTTACTTTGCCGCAAACACCTGCTGTCAAAGTTTGGCTTTCTGCACCGCGGGCACACAAGCCTTTTTGCTCAGTTACAGAAGTGTGGACCTGTCCCCCCGCATGGAGAAGAGCAGGAGATGTGCTGGGGAGAGAGGAGGGCAGCAGGTGGCTTGGTGAGCTGGACGACATAAGATCTGGTAGGGCACTGTCTGCTGAGCTAGGGGGTTTGGACTTTATCCTCCGCATGAGGAGGAGCCATCGATGGGTTTTAAGCAGGGGAGAATCCTGACCACATCTGTACATCAGAAAGACTCCTCTGTGAAATGATACAATGCCTAGGATTTGCATTCAAATAACCTCAGACCAAAATACAAAAAGCAATTAATTGCAGGACTATCTGTGATGGGAAACTGCCTACATGTCTGTCAATAGGCTGGTTGAATAAAGGACTAGGCAGTTGCAAAGACGAATAAGGAGTTTCTCCTTATTGAGTAAATTATTGAGTAAAAAAGGAATGTGTGTATGATACTTATCTAAGAAAGGCAGGGATACAAATATATAGATATATTTATATGTTTATATAAAACAGACAAGCTGTGGATAAACCAATGAAAAGTGGCTACCTATGGGGGAGGGAGGAGACAGGGATAGAAGCTGGACTTATTTGAATAAACTGTGTTTTGTGTATTTGACTTTGGAACCAAGAAAATATTTTACATAAAAAACAAGTGAGAAAGGAATTCCTAAAAGTAAAAAAATAAAGTGAAATAAATGAGCGTAAGTGTGCATGTGGCTAGTGGGGTAAATACACGGGAACTTTTTCCAAACCCAGTGATGTGATGGTACATCTATAGAGAAATATAACCTAAGGACAAAAAGACCTGTAAACAAGCAAACAGTCTTACATTGTTTCCAGCAATCATTTGGCCAGTGGGAGAACCGGTGTTGGTATTCTGAGACTGCTGTATGTGCAATGTGGGAGGAAGCCGATGAGAAATTATGTGAAATTCTAATTCTATATTTCTTGGCATCTTTGAGAAATGAGAATCTTAGCATGGAAGAAAGGAGATGCAGGTGGAAGAAATAAGAGGTTATGCAAACCTGAATTTGAATCGGAAGTATCAGTATGAACTTATGTGTTTTATCTTCAAGACTAACTCCGTAGCTCTGATCTCTGAAAAGACCTGGGAGTAATAATCAGTTCAGTAGCAGTGAGCACCCCCAGTGCCCAGATTGTTGTCTTCAAATTTCATTTCCCAATAAAAGACCAGGGCTTCATGAAAAGATGGTTGATTTCAGGCCTGGGACAGGAAATGACCAAGGGGAGCCTGGAACATCTGTCACACCAGACGGGAAGGAAGTCCTCAACAACTGGTAGGGTGGTGTCAAACGGACTCAGGAGTCGGCTTGAAGAGGCTCCCTCTGGCCAAAGATTTAACATCATTTAAGGAATTTAACATCAATAAAGTAAAACTGCAATGGATTGAAACACATCAAATGTTTTCGACTCCACGAGTTTATGATGTTACTAAAACAAATCTAATTGGTCACCTTTGGAGTGTGCTCATGAGAAAATCCATTATTTTGAAAATTGATAAAAACATATAATTGAGCATTTGTCTTTCCTATACAAACTGTACTACTGGGTAACCAAATAGTTGATGAGGGAAAGTTTCTCTTTATAGAAGTAATTCAGTTCATAAATGAAGAAGGAGTGATAAAATTGGAATATCACCATTTGGCAACTGCTAATTAATTAATGGATAGTGACATTGGATCAGCAACATCTGCTAATATGACAAATAATAAGCTATCACATGGCTCCTGTGAAGTATTCTTGCCAAAAAAATCCAACCGAAATCTAGATTCAAGTAACAATTTACAGAAAGTACAGAGGACAGAAGAAAATATTAAAAGACACCCTGGAGTTGCAATCAGTAAAATCTATATTGTGGGAATCTCTGTAGGATAAATGATCTAGTTTCTTAAACAAGTAAGTTGTAAGGGGAAAAAAAAAGAGATATGAGAAGGAAACAGATATTTAAAAGAAAAAGACATATCACCAGTCACGGAGCAGAACTTACTTAGATCAAGATTCAAACAAAGTAAAAAAAATAAAATAAAAATTTTGTGACATTCTAAAGACAATTGGAAATTTGAACACTGGCTGGATATTTGATAGAATTTAAATTATCAATTGTTTTTAGGTGTTATTGTGGTTTTTTTTCCCAATAGTCTTTATCTTTTAGAAGTATATTCAGAAATATTTATATGTGAAATATATAATATCTGAGATGTGCTTCAAAATAACAGAGGAGGGAGGATGTGGGTGGGGATACAGATGAAGTGAGCTTGAATGTGAGTTGATAACCACTGAGGGTGGGTTGATGGGGACATGAGCGTTCGTTCTCCTATTCTGCTTTTGGATATGCTTGAGATTTTCCACAATCAGATGTTCAAAAAAATAACTATAAAGCAATTAAGAAGAAAGGAATGATCCCTGCACAGCCGTGCGGAAGATGGACTGGAGGGGATGTTTAGGGGCACTGATTTCCCTCCACTGTCTTCTCAGGTCCCGCTTGCATCTCCTTCCTTATTGTCCTGCCTTGTAGAACAAGAGAATAGATGATTGGCATCCACCTCACACGAGAAGGCAGGGCAGGCCCACCCCCAGCAGTATCAGGGCCTGAGATAAGAGTACAAATGGAGACCACTTGCCCCTGTTTGGAAGGGCTGAAGAAGGAGCCTAGGGCTTTAGAAGTGGTACCGCCTGCCGCGCAAGTTTGCCTTGGTTGTGATTTGGCTGAGGGCTCCTGTACCACCGGGGGATGTGACACCGTATGTATCGCAGACAGTGAAGGTCAGTCGTTTTCAGGGCTCTGTAAGCAAGGCAGCTCTGAGGCTGTTCTCTCCTTGGAATCTGGGCTGATTTTGTTTCTTTCAGGAGCTGGAGGTACAGGACCAAAAGCACTGCAGGCCTCGGGTTGACGAGTGCTCTACCAGGGGCTTGCCCTGCAGGTTCCTGTCCTCGCAGCCGCCACCGCCGCCACCTGGGCGCTGCTGGGAGCTGGAGCTCTTGGGCAGTCATGGCCTCCGAGATCAGTCAGGACAGGCTGCCCAGCCTCTATCCTCTTGAAAGCTGGTTGGTTTGTTTTTATTAATAGACTTTTTCTTGATTCTTGTTTTTTTATTGAAATGTAGTTAATTTACATTGTTATTTTCAAGTGTACAGCAAAGCAATTCAGTTATACATATACATGTAAATATATATATATATTTTTTTTCAGTTTCTGTCCCATTACAGCTCATTACAAGAAGTTGAATATAGTTTCCTGTGCTACACACTAGGTCTTTGTTTATCTATTTTATACATAGTAGTGTGTATCTGTTAATCCCAAACTTCTAATCTATCCCTCCCCACCCCCAGCCGTTCCCCCTGGTAATCACAGTTTGTTTTCTATGTCTGTGAGTCTATTTCTGGTTTGTAAATAAAGTTCTTATCTTTTTTTTTCCTTGATGTTTTGATTCACTTCGACCAGAAATTGACTCCAGCGACCTCTGACCATCTTTCTGGCCTCTAGGGGGTGCATCTCTCAGCCTCCCTGACTTTTTAGGGTGAAATTTCTTGAGCCTTGACCACAAGCTTCTAGGAATTTTCTGGATGGGTGGATGATAAACCACAGGCCACTGTGCTTTTGACTCAAGCTCTTGGAAGACCTTGGGCCCCAGAGCTGGAGAAGATGGACCTGGCCTTGGGTCTGGAGACAGGAGATTTGCAGGGCTTTTCATTAGTTTTGCCCTTGGGTGTGGGCAGAGAGGTTGAGTGACTTAGCCTCGTGGTCCATTAGCATCTTTGTATAAGGCCTCTTTCTTGATTTTGAATTACTGAATTACCTTTTATCCCATAGTTTCCTCCCATTCCCCTCTCCGCTATGGATAAGCACTCTAACGTGCTTAATGCACATCTTTTTATTTGCATGTGTTCTTGCATGTGTTTTGTGTTGAGTATATTTTTTAACTTGGAAAATTATGTATTTTTCTTAAGTGTAAGGGGAAAATTATAAGCATTAATTCATTATCATGACTTTATCCAATTGTAGAATAAGTACGTTATTCTAAACTCAGGGCCCAGGCAATGTAAAGATGAAAAATAATTTGGAGAGCAGAAATATATTGTGAATAACACATAAATTTACATTTCCACTTAGGTATGTTATTCCTAAGTCAATTTATAGAATTTTGGTACATTTAAAATAGTACTGAATTGTTGCGAGTAACCACTGAAATACTTTTCAACTATGCGAAGTATGCAAAAATTGCAAAATAAAAAAATTTAACATAGAAATCTTATGCAGTCATGCTGGTCTATGTGGTTAGTGTCCATATTTTGGCTGAAAATATGTTCCCCTAGAATATAGCCAATATTTTATAACAACTATAAATGGAGTATATAATCTTTAAAAATTGTGAATCACTATATTGTACACCAGTAACATATAATATTGTACGTCAACTATACTTCAATTTTAAAAAGAAAATCTGTTCCCCTAGTATCCTAAAAATGAGCAGTCTGAGATCTTTTACACATTGGTATTAGATAGTCGTGTTCACTCTATTAACACCAGAGGCAATGGTGCAATGCTAAAAATAAGCCTGCATCTATGTCTGTGTTATTATGCACGGAAATAGTATTGTGTTATAAAACCTCATCTGGTTTCCTACTTTTTTCAGTGACGACTTTGATTTTAAGATGCATCCACATTGCTGAGTATGCCTGCAGTGTACTGGCCACGTTTTACTCATCCACTCCCCCGCGGGTGGACTTTCAGGCTGCCCCTCCCTCCTCCATCACAGGCACAGGAACAGAATTTCTGGGTCATAGGAATGAGATGGAGGCTCTAGTCTGGAAACCTACCAGCACAGCAAATGCCAAACCTCCTTCTCTGTGCCTGGAAGAGACGTTCTGGAAGTCTGAAGAGCCACAACACCTCCCATCCTCCTTGTAGTTCTAGGCTTAACTCCTAAAACTACAGGATTTGAGGCAGGAAAGTTGGAATTGAGGCGCAGCCATTCTCCCCTCCTCTGCTCTGGGATAAGACATCCTGGGGTGCAGTCGAGAGTCCCAGCATCTCCAAAGAGTTTGTTTGCAAGTCCTGAATGCTGAGCTGGTCCCTCCTGCATAGCTCAGGTTAGGGGGACAGCCACCTCTCACCCCAAGGCTGGGAAGTGACTGGGGCCAGACTCAGGGCAGGAGGAAGACCTGAGCAGGACCCGGCACCTGGCCCCCCCAACCCCCTGCAAGCCTGTGGGAAGCAACTTCACTAACTGTTGGACTGAAGCCACAGTCCAAGAAGCTCAGGCTTCTCGCACTAAAGAAAATTCAGAAACACCCAGACTGACTCTGGCATGAAGCTCTTCAAGCCCTAAAATGGGGCCTCTGAGCGCTCTCGCTGATTTCCACTGCCCCATCCCTCCAGCCTTCGGGGAGCACTTTTCCCCCAACATCTGAGATTCTGAGCCAGGACCCAGGGCAGCTCCCAGGTGACAGTTTGGTGGGGTCTTGCAGGAATGGTAAAGATCTCTCAGATAAAGGCTTGGGGAGGATGAAGGGGAATTGGCTTAAGCAGAAACCTGACAACTCCTTTGAGGTACAGCTGGGCTCCCTCCCACCTTGCTTGAATAACACCACCTTTTCCTCCCTGCTCCAGGAGACCCTCCCATTCACCTGGACCCTTCCAAAAGCGACCAAGAGAGGCTGAGCTTCCCTCCACACTGCCTGGTCCTGCAGTTCCATTTCCTGCCTCTTCTCCAGAGTAGGACAGCATCCTGGTAGGTTCCCAGGATAGCCTTCTCCAGGAGGACACAACCGCAACTTCTGTGTAAATGTGACACTACTGCACAGTAAATAGTGAGAGGACCGTGTAGGGGAGGACTTTTCTCCACCCTCTGGACCCTTGTCCCTTGGGCATGACTCTCAGTTAAGGACAGCCTGGGGCAAAGCCAGTGAGATGGGTGTAGGGGAGAGTGGGGAGGTGAAGAGGGGCCCAGGGGTGTGAACTCCCTGGGGCAGCCTAGGGTAGAGGTGGGTGGCAGACCCTTAGGAAATAAGTCTGGTCCCTGCCTGGAGAAAGGGCACTCTCGGTGAGGGTAACACTCCTTCATCCCACAAGCATCTCTAAGCATCTCTCACGTATCAGGCACTGTGCTAGTTGCAGGGTACCACTGTGAACAAGGGCGGTGCGTTCCTGCTGCCACGGAGTGACACTGGACAGCAGAGGAGACGAGCAAACAGTAAGTAAGCAAATATATAATTCTAAATAGCAGTAAGAACAGTGAGGGAAACTGGGAGGTGCTGAGATGGAGAATAGTGGGGAGGAGGGAGCTGCTTTAGATGTGGTGATTGGGAAAGGAGGCACAGAGAAGGTAATTCTCTTGAGGCCGAAGCAGCCATTATGGGAGGTTTTCCTCTGCCTAGCATTCCTTTCCCTCTTCTTGTACAGCCCTCTCTGTCCCCTCCTCTACTCTTGATCCACGTGGGCTCCTGGAGGAGACATGTAACCCAGGTCTGGCCAATCAGGGCACCCCATCCCACCCTGGCCACAGTGATTGGTTCAGAGATGGGCACATGCACCAAATTAGGTGAAGGCAGACATGTGACCCAGGTCTGGCCAATCAGGGCATCCATCCCACCCTGGCCACAGTGATTGGTTCAGAGATGGGCACATGCACCAAATTAGGTGAAGGAGAGTCAGGCTGGAAACTTTGGCCAGACCATCGGACAAGAAGCTATCCCTTTTTGTCCGAGGATGCTAAACAAGGATGTAAGCCTTCAACAGCCATGGGCGGCCGTATAGAAAGAGGCTCCCTGAGAACAGAGCCAACCCCAAGGAAAGCAGAGCTGAGAAATGGAGAGGGAGAGAAAGAAAATGAGAAAGAAAGAGGGAGATCCATTGATCAAGCCCTATTGTCATTTTTGATTCTCTGAATCTGCAGGAGGGAAGAGGAAGTGAAACATTAACATTCCCCAAAACTCTCCTCAGCGTCATCCTCACAGTCTCCTCCCTGCCCACAACTCTATACAAAGCTGGAGGCAGGCCAGGGGCAGCCATGCAGGGTCTGTTTGGAGCCCCCTCTAGGCAGATCCTGCAAACACAAGTAGTCTCCTAACATCTTTTTCATCTTCACCTTTAGGCATCGGCCAAAACTCTGAAAGCAGAAAAGTCCTATTTTTATGGTGTTGTATGTTTATGTTTATTTTATGATAAGTATTGTTGGCCCATTTCTATAAATGAGAAAAATGAAGCTAAGAGAGGTTGAGTAACTTGCCAAGAACACAGAGCTGGTCAGAGACAGAGCTGAATTCATACCCCAGTTTATCTGGCTTCAGATTGCCCTCCTCCTTTCTACTTCTCCAGTCCAGGGGGTGGTATGGCCTGGCAGACAGATGGCTCCTAGCACTGGGGCTACAAGCAGCCTGACCTGGGATTCAGGGCTGTAACTCCAGCTCCGGCTGACTGTGGGCAGAGCAATCCCACATCCACGAAAAGTGGCATTTATAAGGTCTGGAAGGTGCAGCTCTGGGTCTGGGGTTGCCACCAAGGGCTAAGTGCCCATTACGTGCCAGGCACCGAGCCAGGCACTTCACTGTGTTACTGTGTCATCCATATGGGAAACTGACCACCAGCCAGAGTGGATGAGACCTGCTGCTGGAAGCCTTCTTATCCTCCTTTCCTGGGTCAGGACTGACCCTGGAGGCTGGCCAGCAGGGAGCCCAGCTGTTGGGAGCAGAGGGAGGCAGTGTCAGGAGCCAGGCCCCCACACCCCTTTCCTACATCCATCTATCCCTGACCTGGCCCAGCCTCCTCATGTCTCTCCAGACTCCTCCCTTGCCTCACTGCCTCCAGCCTCACCCCTCACAACTACCCACCAGGCCTGATTGTTCACGATCTTGCAGCCTTACTGGGCTGCAGCCATGGGCTGTTATTATGGTGGTCTCCCTCACTGCCATGGTGTGTGTGGGGAGCCGGGGTGGGGGTGCTGCGGAGATGACTGTGTTTCTTGGAGCCCCTTGGCCTTAAGAGCTGAGCTGAGCAAAACCAACAGGAAGCGCCTCCCAGGACCCTCAGATGCCAGCCGGGGGTGGTTACGGCAGGGGAAATGGCCAGCAGCCCTGTGCACACGCGTCCTTCTGAGGCGTGGGTGCGGTGCTGCCATGCGCCAGGGCTCTCTGCCAGTGTGTGGGGGGGGGGACGAGCGCTTCTTCAGCCTGAGGCTACCTGTGAAGGCTCAGTGGACATAGCCTCACTCGGCCAGCTTGCCGTCCTGTGGTCCTCAAGGCTCCAGGCTGCCTCCAGGGACTGAGGGCGCGGGGGAGGGGGGTTGAGTCGGAGCATTTTACCGTCACCACGGGGAAGGGACAGCTGCGCCGTCTGAGTCAGCAGCCTCACTGTCCAGAGGGGAAGCCAAGGTTCACACTGGAGGAGGGACTTGCCGGGGTCACTTTCGTAGTCCTGGTGTGGGTTTTGGAGACAGAGATGGTTGAATCCTAGCTCCGCCACTTCCTCCTGGAAGAGCTGGAGCAAATTACAACCCTGAGCCTTAGTTTTTGTAAACGTTAGCGGGGGCCTTACTGCTCTAGTGTTAGAGCTGCGAGGATTCTCAGGCAAGACGTGCATGAGGTGTCTGTTCCCAGCGGCAGCTCAGGCGTCCAGCTCCATCCCCCCGCCCAGGGGGACGGGGGTGCTCCCTCCTGGACACCGGAGCTGCTCAGGGGAAGAGCCGCCCTGTTTCTCAGGTGACACGGCTGCCAAAGGCTTTAGGAAAGAATCAGGTCGGCTTTGGGCCCGGGACAGGAGGTGGCAAGTGTAAGACCCTACCAGTCAGGAGACTGATTCCAGGGAGGTGAGCGGCCTGGGGCCTGGGCGCAGCTTCCCGACCTTTCCTTTCCTTCACTTGCTCATCCACCTGCGGGTGCAGACTGAGCGTCCTTTCGGAAACGGGCTGTGTTACGGCTGGCGCTCGGTCGGGGAGGACGAAGACCAGCGGCGCCGCCCCGAC